TCAAGGACCAGTATGGGGGCAGCCAGGTTATCAGGTAATTATAACAAAGTCGGGTAAGTTCTCTGACTGTGGGGTTATGGAAGCTCATAGAAAAGCCATCCTATGACTGGGTGACAACATTAATTACTGAGTTGTGATTTGGATTAAGATTAGTTATTGAGGAAAGAATCGGGCTGCGAACCTTAAGGTCAGCGGTTCGAAACTACCAGCTGCTCCGCGGGAGAAAGATGAGGCTTTCTGCTCCTGTAAAGATTTACAGCCTCGGAAACCCTATACAGGGTCGCTATGGGTCGGACCCGACTCGATGGCACTCAACAACAACAACAACAATAACATATTATGGTATTGGAGGAGAATATTGAAAGTGCCATGGGCTGCCAAAAGAACCAATAGATATGTTTTGGAAGAAGTGCAGCCAGAGTGCTCCTTGGAGGCCAGGATGGCCAAAACTCTTCTCCCATACTTCGGACATATTGTCAAGAGGGATCAGTCACTGGAGAAGGATATAATGTTTGGTAAGGTGGAGGGTCAGAGAAAAAGAGGAAGACCCCCAACGAGATGGATTGGCCAAGTGGCAGCATCGATGGACTCAAGCATGGCAACAGTAGTGAGGTTGGCCCAGGATACTGCCTAGTGTTTCGTTCTGCTGTGCAGAGGGTCGCTAAGAGTCGGTACCGACTCGATGGCACCTAACAACAATAACATACTTATTTATAAACTTCTGCCTCTAGGATGAACATCAGGCTGAAACAAGGAGAGGGAAGAATTGCACACTGACTTCTAGGCTTTTATGCTTTGTTCTGGGGCCACCAAAGATGGCAATTTCCTGCCTCAGTGTGCATGGACGCAGGATATGGCTTGATTTCCAAAGCTAAGATTTTCTTAAAATTATGAATAGTAATAAAAACAGTATGGCCCTCTTTCAGTTTCACTTTCCCATCTATAAAATGATGGAATTAGACTAGGAGACTACCCCCAGTCTGTTAGTTTGTCATACTGGTCTTCCCAGTCTTCTTTCCTCAATTGTTGTTGTTGTTGTTATGTGCCGTGGAGTCGGTTCCGACTCATAGCGACCCTGTATAGAGTTTCCGAGGCTGTAAATCTTTACAGGAGCAGAAAGCCTCATCTTTCTCCTGCAGAATGGCTGGGAGTTTCGAACTGCTAACCTTGTGGTTCGCAGCCCAATTCTTTCCTCAATAACTAATCTTAATCCAAATCACAACTCAGTAATTAATGTTGTCACCCAGTCATAGGATGGCTTTTCTATGAGCTTCCATAACCCCACAGTCAGAGAACTTACCTGACTTTGTTATAATTACCTGATAACCTGGCTGCCCCCATACTGGTCCTTGAGCTCTTGGAGGTCATGGTACTGTTTTATATCTGTATCCCTATCCCCAGTACCTTGTACTAGTTACTATCAATTTGACTCTGATTTATGATCATCTCAAATGTATCAGAATAGAATTTTTTGGCAGATTTTTTAAAAAGTATATCACTAGGCCTTTCTTTCAAGAATATGCTTTTTTTTTTTTTTTTTTTTAAGGGTGGACTCAAATCTTTTTCATTAGCACTCAAGTCTATTAGCCAGTTGTACCACTCAGAGTATCCACTTTATACAAAGTGCTCAATAAATATCTATGGAAGAGAGAGGAAGCTACATAGGTGGAATGAGAAGAAAAGAAATAATAGCTAAGAGTAGTAAGACAGATAACATTGCAAAGAATGGGAATTCCAGAACACTTAATTGTGATCTTGTAGAACCTATACATAAGCCAAGAGGGGATACCGAATAGAACAAGGGGATACTACATGGTTTACAAGCAAGGAAAGTGTGTGTCACTGTTGTATCTTCTCACCATACTTATTCAATCTGTATGCTTGAAGTTAGACTATATGAAGAAGAACACAGCATCTGGATTGGAGGAAGACCCATTAACAACTGTTCATATGCAGATGACACAACCTTGCTTGCTGAAAGAAAAGGACTTGAAGCACAAACTGATAAAGATAAAAGATGAAAGTCTTCAGTATAGATTATACCTCAACATAAAATTAAAAATCTTCATAACAGGACCCAGAAGCAATATTATAATAAGCAGAGAAAAGATTGAAGTTGTCAAGGATTTCAGTTTACTTAGGTCCACAATCAATACCCATGGCAGCAGCTGTCAGGAAATCAAATGACATATTACATTGGGCACATTTGCTGTAAAAGACCTCTTTAAGGTGTTCAAAAGCAAAGATGTTACTTTAAGAACTAAAGTATGATTGATTCAAGCCATGGTGTTTTCAGCATGGCTCTATGAGTTGATGGGCCAGACTGCAAAGTTGTTTGAACTGCAAGGTCGGCAGTTCGAGCTTACCAGCTGCTCCTTGGAAACCCTATACAGGGTCACTATGGGTCGGAATTGACTCAATGGCACTTAACAACAACAACAACATATGCATGCAAAAACTGGACAATGAACAAGGAAGACCAAAGAAGAATTGATGTCTTTGGATGATGGTGCTGGTGAACAATATTAAATATACTGTGGACTGCCAGAAGAATGAACCAATCTATTTTGGAAAAGCACATCTAAAAATCTCCTTAGAAGCAAGGATGGCGAAACTTCGTCTCACATACTTTGGCCCTGTTATCAGGAAGAACTAACGTCTGGAGAAGGACATCACACTTGGTAAGGAAGAGGGTCAATAAAAAGAAAGAAGACCCTTAATGAGGTATGGATTCAGAGAGTGACTGCAACAGCGGCTTCAGACAGAGCCTGTCTGTGCAATGATTGTGCAGATGGTGCAGGACTGGGCAGTGCTTTGTTTTAGTGTACATAGGGTCACTATGAACTGGAACCAATTTAACAGCACCTAAAAACAACAATAAGACTTCAAGAGCAAAGTAGTAGAAGCTTAAGAAGGAAAAGGAGAACCGAGGGATAAAACCTCATGCACACCCTGTATGTTACTTATACACCACAGGCACCAAGAACCGTCAGGAACTTTGTGCCTGAGAAGAGCAGCAGTGACTAATGCAAAGTGGCAGTGATTTAACCTCCATCTTTCCACGCCCATCACCAGCCCCTCTAAAACCACACAAGCAAAATCATAACAGCATCAGTAATAGGAATGAAAATATCTGGGTGGTCAGGTAGCATCTTCTCATTCTTAAGACTAATGAATAAAATCATCTTTAGAAACTGCATTTTTAAAACCTGTGAGTTTCATATTAGTCCCAAACTGGAAACAAACCAAATGCTTATCAGTAGAAAAATGGATAAACTAAGAGTGTATTCATGCAATTGAATATTATACTACATTTTTAAAACAATTATGATCACAGTCAACAACATGCATGAATTTTGTAAACACAATGCTGAATGAAAGAAACCAGACACAAATGAGTACATTCTGTATGATTTCATTTAGATGAAGTTCCAAACTGTAGTGATACTAATCTATGGTGATAGAGTTTAGACATCAACTGTCAGGGGGCATGTGGGAACCTGTGTGGTTCTAAAAATATGCTAATTTGGGTGGTGGCTACATGACTCTATGAATGTATAAAAGTAAATCAGTTGTAAAAAAAAATAAAGTATAATCAGTTGTATAGTTAAAGGTATGCACTTCATTGTGTGTAAATTCTATACCAATCAATAAAAAGCAGGGGGATTATATTGGCTCCACAATTGCAATCTTAAAACGAGACCCTTAGCTGTCCCCACCCCATTCGAAGTTCCCACCCTCCAGTGCAGAATTCCGAAGCCTTCCTTGCAGAGAACCTTGGAAGTTGTCTACCACATTCCTTGAGTCTGAAGTATGCATTTGTTTTGAACTCTCTAAATCTTATCCTTAAGGGCCACCTGAAGTCAGGACAAGGTTGATGACACCCATCAGGAGTGGGATGATACCTCAGCTTCCATGAGTGCATGGCATCATCTCTGGGTCAGGGGACCATAGAGAGCAATCTTACAAATCAGAACACTTTTCAGAGCAAAAGGGGACTCCTTTCATATTTTCACTGGGACAACAGGCATAAACCAGGATGTCCTAGGCAAGGGGTATATAATGGAACTTCTTAATATAAAAGCTGCCAGAAAATCTGGAAAGTATACATCCTGAAACAAATATAATTTGAGCAGGTTGGGACTAAGGCAGCGAGTGCATGAGAAGGAAATGGACGCAGAGAAGAGCCTTTCATCTGCCAAGGGGGCAGAGGTGTTCTATATAATTGCTCTTCGGGGAACCAGGCCTCCAGCCCACATCCCAGTTACTCCTTTTTTTTTTTTCTCCCCGAATTTACTGCCCCTTCTCTGGAACTCCTAAGCCTGACCGGGTACCCCGGCCCTTCCAGCCAGGGTTCCCCTGACCCCACTCCCTTTCCCAGAACTCAGTTGCCTGAGCCCCCAGCCTGCGGTTCTCTCCTAGGCCTCAGCCTTTCCTGCCTTCGACTGAAACAGCAGCATCTTCTAAGCCCTGGGGGCTTCCCCGGGCCCCAGCCCAGGCCTAGAACCGCCCGCTGCCTGCCACGCTGCCACTGCCGCTTCCTCTATAAAGGACCCAGGCGTCCGGTCCGGGCCCAGGGGCCCTTCACAGCAGGTGAGACTCTCCCTCCCCATCTCCTTTGCTTCCTGGCGGTGGACTCCTGCCCTTTGGCCTGCTCCTGGCCTCTCCTCTGCCTCACTTTGAGCCCCAGCCTGCCTGGGGCTCGGCCTTGGTGGGTTGGGTTTGTTGCCCTGTCTCTGATTCTCCATCTGTCTGTCTCTCTCTGACTGCCACACATTCTCTGTTTCTGCTGTTCTTTTCCCTTCTAATCTCTGTTCCTTCCTACCTCTGTTTCTCTTTCTGTCTGTCACCCCCAGACTACCTCGGAGTTTCCCTGACTGTATCTTGTCCCCTTTTCTGTCTTTTACCCTCTTGGGGTAGCTGTCTTTGCGGGCGGGAGGCCCTCTTCCCCAGCGTGCGCCCCGCCCCGCTCACTGTCTCTCTCCCTGTAGGTTCTCCCCATGACACGACCTGGGTACCGCTACCTCCTGAAGGTGCATGGCACCCCCCTTCCCCTCCTCCTCATGGGGCTGCTGCTGGCCCTGCTGTCTGGGACCCAGGTAAGACAGCAAGAGTACGGGAGCTTCTGGGATGGTCCAACTGAGCCTTGGATCCCACAGCGCCCTCTAACTCTGTACTGTCCTAGGGGATTCATGGGGTTGGCCTCTCATCTCCAGCTGCTCGGTCTGCCCAGCAACACCCTAAGAAACACTTCACCCCTGGAACCCTCAAACCTGCTGCTCACCTTGTTGGTAAGCATCCATCTAACCACCCAGATATCTAACTCCCATCCTTCCTTCAGCCCCCCATCCCCACCCCAGATCTTCATCTTTGCTCCAACTTCTCTATCCCCCAAGGACAGAACTGCTCAATCCCCACCTCTTCCCCAACCATCTCCCAGAGACTAAACATTTAGTGCCCACTTCCCCAGGGACAAAGATCTCTGAGTTCCCAGACCCCTTGACTCTTGCTCCTTGGCTCTTCCTAGGAGATCCCAGCACCCAGACTTCGCTGCGCTGGAGAGCAAACACAGATCATGCCTTCCTCCGCCATGGCTTCTCTTTGAGCAACAATTCCCTCCTGGTCCCCACCAGTGGCCTCTACTTTGTCTATTCCCAGGTGGTCTTCTCTGGGGAAGGCTGTGCGCCCAAGGCCACCCCCCTCCCTCTCTACCTGGCTCACGAGGTCCAGCTTTTCTCTTCCCAGTACCCCTCCCATGTGCCTCTCCTCAGTGCCCAGAAGTCTGTGTGCCCAGGACCACAGGGACCTTGGGTACGCTCAGTGTACCAGGGAGCTGTTTTCCTACTCACCCAGGGAGACCAATTGTCCACTCACACAACCGGCATCTCCCACCTACTCCTCAGCCCCAGTAGTGTCTTCTTTGGAGCTTTTGCTCTGTAGAACTTGGAAAACCCCAGAAAGAACAGAAAAATTGGTTTCAAGGCCTACTACTCATTTTGCCTCCATTCTGACAGTTTCAAGACTTCCTACCACTTTTTTGACCATTCCAAACAATCTCAAGTCTTCCCCTACTCAAGTCACCTGGAGCTTCCAAGAAGGAATTCTGGGCACCCAAGGCACCACACCTTCTGCACCACCCCGGATGTTCTGCCAAGGATTTCAAAGATGCCTAGAAATTCCCAGGCCAGAGCTGTTTGTCCTGCCGGTCTAGGTGGGGCCTAGATCGGACATGGAGGAGGATCAGATATGTGGAGGAGCTTGAGTGGATGAGTGGAGGTGGGGAGGGGTGATTATTTATGGTGGGAAAATTAAATTATTTATTTATAGAAGATGGGAAGAGGGAAATAATAGAGGGGCATTAGAAGTGAGAAAGATAAACAGACCCGAAAGATGAAGAATGGAAGAGCATCAGCACAGGTTGACTTAGCAAGAGAGAAAAAAAAAATAGGTCTGAGCTACTAAGGGGCTCTAGAAGGAAAGTGGAGGTTCTTCAGTGTTAACCACTGCTGAAGTAGACACCCGTCCCTGAGTAGTGTTCTGCACCCACGATGAAAACCAATAAACCTCTGTCCTCTGAAATGCTGTCTGTCTGTTTGGATGGGGAGAATCTCCCAGGTCTCTGTGCAAAATGGAGGGAAGGACAGAGACCTCAAAGGGGGTAGGAGGGTGGGAGAACAAGGAGTTAAAGGGGCTTAAAGATGATATGGCAACCACATTACAGCAGGCAAACAAAGGGATAAGCTGAGATGACAGGGAAAATGGGGTCCAGGGTCTGAAGGGGTGGAGGTCAGGGACCTCTGAAAGATGTGGCTACATGTAGTGGTTCTTAATAACAGGTACAAGAGGCCTCTGAGGAGACGTGATCACACCAAAGAAGGGGAATGTTCAGCACTCTGGCGTGAGGTTTGCACAGAGCCCTGAGGAGTGGGACTAGTAGGGGATGGAAAAATGAGGGAGATTTGAGGAAACATGGACATACACAGAGGCTCTGATGGGCAAGAGTGAATCCAGGAATTTGGGAGAAGGGGTTCTTTGTGGAGACATGGGCTCACACAGGGCCTCTGAGGGCTCTCCAGGAATTTGAGGTGGGGGTGAATTTTTTGGAGAGACATGGGCACATATACAGGCTCTGCGGGGTGGAACTGTCTCCAGGAATTTGGGGAACAGGAGTTCTCTAAGAGACATGACCAAACACTGGAACTTCAAAGGTGGGGGCTTCATGCAAAAATTAGAGACCTCAAGTTCCCTCAGAAGCCAAGACTGAAACCAGTCCTTTGAGTCCCAAGGTCAGAATGAAAGAAGATCTGCCTCCTGGGGTTCCTGAATTCCCAAGGTTGATTTTACTCCCTCTGGGGCTGTCCCAGGCTTGTCCCTGCTACACCCACAAGCCCTTCCAGAGGCCTCATCTACATCCCTTAGTCTTAGACAAGGCCCCTGCCCCCACCTCCTTTCCCGGAGTAGCCCAAACACATACTTCAGGACCCAAGACCCAGACATAGGCCTTTACTCCCAGCTTTATTCCCCTTCAGGATTCAACTTTCTGAAGCCCCTCCTACCTGCTCTTTGGAGTCCTACCCACATGTGAGTCTTGTGTGGAAATTAAGGGGAAACAGCTCACAGAACTGGCCCTCAGAAGAAATGGAGACAATGAGAACTGAGAAGCAAGAGAATCTAGAATCCTGTGCAAATATGGGTAACTGGCCCAGGAAGCCCCTCTCAGAATCTAAGTGGGGTCGTGTGTGTGAGAAGTATCCTTGATGCCTGGGTGTCCCCAACTTTCCAAACCCCACCCCCGCAATGGAGAAGAAACCGAGACAGAAGGTGTAGGACCCACTACCGCTTCCTCCAGATGATCTCATGGGTTTCTCCACCAAGGAAGTTTTCCGATGGTTGAATGAGAGCTTCTCCCCGCCCTCCTCTGCCCCAACAGCGTATAAAGGCAGCTGTTTGCACACCCAGTCTGCAGAGCTCCCTCAGCGAGGACACCAAGGGACCAGCCAGGAGGGAGAGAAGCAACTCCAGATCCCCTGGGAAATAACCCCTTAGACGCCACACCCCCAGACAAGCAGCCGAACAGGATTTGCTCTCACACACACACATTGCCCCAGGGCTTCTCCATCTCCTAACTATACTTGAGCCCCTCTGCAAAGGACACCATGAGCACTGAAAGCATGATCCGGGATGTGGAACTGGCTGAGGAGGCACTCCCTAAGAAGTCAGGGGCCCCTCAAGATTACAGACGGTGCCTGTTCCTCAGTCTCTTCTCCTTCCTGCTTGTGGCAGGAGCTACCACACTCTTCTGTCTGCTGCACTTCGGAGTGATCGGCCCCCAGAGGGAAGAGGTGAGTGCCTCATCAGCCTTCATTCAGAACTTGAGACAAAAAAAAAAAAAAAGGGATGAGATGGGATGGAGGACACAGGTATATAGATGGGGAGGGATGAGGAGGAAAAACATAGGGAAAAAGTTGAGAGTCAGAGAGAGAAATGGGAAAGAAATATAGCAAGATAGGATGCTTAGCACATGCCAGGTGTTCACTAAATAGTTGTTGAATGGATGAATTAACAAATGAATAAACAAACAGTTGAATATATATAATGGATAGGTCTGGGTAATAAGCAATATGGGGTCTGGGGAAAGATATGGGGAAGAAACAAGTAGTATGAATAAAACTGATGAACAGAAAACGATGTGGAAAGAGATGGGGGAGATATGAGATAAGGCTAGATGAAGACTAGGTCTAGTGTCTGGTACATGGAAGGCACTCGATGACAAAGATGGTGGATGGAAGGATGGATGAATACATAACTGTATGAATGGAGAAAGAAAAACAGAGGCATGGGATCAGAAAAAGCAAATCCAGCTATGAATTTCTCCCTTTGAGGGAACTTCTCTCTAATGCAAACTCCTTCTTCTTTACAACAGTTTCCAGATGGCTTGCACCCAATCAGTCCCTTGGCCCAGACTCTCAGTAAGTATCTCCAAAACCTCTTTCCTAGTTCTGGGTTTGGATGGGGGTGGGAGTTAGTCCTGGTATGGAAGCAATTATTTGAGGGAGGGATTTCAGAATTCTGCTTTTGAGGAGAAATGGAAGTCAAGATAACAGAGTGTTTTTCTGGAAATGTTTAAGTTCTCACCATTTTCTTTCTTCCTCAGGATCATCTTCTCGAACTCCGAGTGACAAGCCTGTAGCCCATGTTGTTGGTAAGAGCTCTGAGGATGTGTCTTGGGGGCTATGAGGGAGCAGGTGGAATGTGGAGGGATAGGATTGGGGGGCTGAGTGGGGCTGAGGATAGAGAGACCGCTGGAGATCATGTGAGCTTAAGGGGATAGTAAAGAAACAGCCTAGATCTTAAGGGTCATGGGCAGATGGGATGTGGGAAGACAGAGGGGACAGGAACCGGATGTAAGGGGGTGAGCAGAACTTGAGGGCCAGGATGTGGAGAGTGGAACTGACTGGGTCACACTGAGTCACCTCTTTCCTTTTCTCCTTTTCTCCAGCAAACCCCCAAGACACAGGGCTCCAGTGGCTGAGCCGGCGTGCAAATGCCCTTCTGAACAATGGTGTGGAGCTGAAAGACAACCAGCTAGTGATACCTTCTGACGGGCTGTACCTCATCTACTCCCAGGTCCTCTTCAAGGGCCAAGACTGCCCTGCAACCCATGTGCTCCTCACCCATACCATCAGCCGTTTCGCCGTTTCTTACCAGACCAAGGTCAATCTCCTATCTGCTATCAAAAGCCCCTGCCAGAGGGAGACCCCAGAAGGGGCTGATTCCATGCCCTGGTATGAGCCCATCTATTTGGGAGGGGTCTTCCAACTGGGGAAGGGAGATCGACTCAGCGCTGAGGTCAACCTACCCAACTATCTCGACTTTGCTGAGTCTGGGCAGGTTTACTTTGGGATCATTGCCCTGTGAGGGGGATGTCTTTCTTTCCTTGACCCCTTCACCCACTGCAGTCTCTTTATTATCCATTCCTTCAGACTCCCTCATCCCCTCCTGGCTTAGAAAGGAAATGAGGGGCTAAGGGCTGGGCCTCAAGTTTGTAACTTTAAACAACACTTAGAAACCTGAGGTGCAGGGATGTGTGACCCAAACAATAGGACACGGACCACCTCCTAGAATCTGAACTTGGGCCTCAAGAACCCATTGGATCCCCAAATGCAAACTGGGATACCTGGAATGTGGAAGCCAGAGAGCCTTTGGTTCTATCCAGAACACTTCAGAACATCCTGAGAAGAAGACCTCAACTAAAACTTGACATGACCTCAGACCTCCCTTTCTCCAGAAGTTTCCAGACTCTCTTCCCTAAGATATAGAACCCCTGCTTCTCTGCACCAGCCAGGTCCTCTCTATTTATGTTTGCACTTGTGATTATTTATTATTTATTTATTATTTATTTATTTACTGATAAATGTATTTATTCAGGAGGTCAGGGATCTTGGGAGAACGAATGTTAAGGGGCTGCCTGGGCTCAGAAATGTTTTCTGTGAAAACCAAACTGAACTGTAGGCTGTTCACACCTGACCTCCTGGCCTCTGTGCCTCCCTTTGCTTTTGTTTTTTTAAAAAATATTTATCTGATCAAGTTGAATAATACTGATTTGGTGACAGACTGTCGCTATATCGCTGAACCTCTGCTCCCCAGGGGAGTCGTGTCTGTAACCGCCCTACTGGTCAGTGGCGAGAAATAAAGTTTGCTTAGAAAAGAAACATTGTCTAGTCTTGGAATATTGCAACTGTCTCCCCTTGGGGATGGGGATTCCCTCTCTGAAGACCTCCCTGCACAGGCCTTTAAATTCCTCAGACCCAACCCTCTGTCCTTAAACTCTGAGACCATCGGGGTCTAAGAGACCCAACAGAAACAAAGCCTAGCCAAATAACCCCCCTCCCCCAGGAAACAGAAGCCAAAACCCAATTACCTTGCCCTTAGGGCATGGGAATTTCCCAGTCTGGGAATTCCAATCCCCTGCCGGGAAAGTCCTGCAGCTCAGGTAAGATTTCCGGCTGTTGCTACAGCCTGAGAGAATCTAGAAGGAATAGCATTCTTAGGCATCTGAATCACTGCCAAGGAACTTCCAGAGATTCAGGTGTCTGGGCTTCAAATCCCCCACTCTAGGCCACCCACCCAGCCCTATCCTAACTGTGCAACCTGAACCAGTTACTTTACCTCATCTATCAATCCAAGATGGGACTGCCCACTGCTTATAGGATCATGTGGAAATAAAACACAACTATCTTTAAGCACCTCTAACTGTGCTTGGCACTCAGTATACAATCAAAGGAATATGGCTTTCTTCTTTCCACTTTGAGATATCCAGCCTCCAGCTGGATTGGGAGAGGTCCCAATCTCTCGTTGAGTGAAATCAAACCAAAGGAAGAAAATGAAAAACAAGCAATAATATGTGTGTTTTCATGTGCCAATTGGGTCTCAGCAATGTTTGGTGGTGGTGGTGTGCCATGGAGTTGGTCCCAACTCATAAGGACTCCGCATAGGGTTTCCAAGGCTATAATCTTTACCGGAGCGGAAAGCCTCATCTTTCTCCTGCAGAATGACTGTTAGTTTCCAACCTCTGACCTTGAGGGCCCGACTGGTAACCACTACACTACCAGAGCTCCTTCAGCAATTTTTAGGCGAATGATCATGGAAGTTGTGTGAGGTGGGTGAACTGGAAAGAGAACTCCCTACCAACAGGGGAAGCTCTTTGCTGAAAATGAGTCAAAGACAAATAAGGAGTCAAAAAATGGGGACCCAGAGAGTGGGGACCCCTCTGGGTTCAGAAGTAAGCTCTTCCTTCTGGCTCAGGGTTGTCAGGGAAGGGAAAATTGTGTGGTGTGCCAACAGTGGTAAGGTGTCCTGCGGAGGTGACCTAGATAGGGCCTTGGGTCCCCCTCTGCCTCCTCCAGGAACTGAAAGTCGGTCATGGGGAGGGGGCAGGGGGCTGCTGTTACTCATCCTGGGGACACTTGTCTGAAGTGTGAACCAGAGGTGAGGACTTTCCATTCCACCCTGAAGAGGACTGGGTGGCATCTGCTTTCCTCCTCTATCCCTGGGCTCTCTCTGGGGTCCTCAGGAACAAGCTCCTCCCCTACCACCCTATCTGTCCCTCTTTCTTAAACAAAACATCTTTTCCAACTTTCTATACTAGCCCCTTCCCTTCAAATATGGTGAGCTTCTCATTGCCTTTGAAGGAAATTGTTGACCAAGGGGGTACTGGCTAACAGGGTCTTCAGGCAGCCAGCAGGTGAGAAGAGGCTGGGCCTCTCAGAGCATCATTCCTCAGCCACATTAAGTTAAGGACTTACTCTGCACTGGACCTTTCTGAGTGGCACTGGACCTTTCTGAGTGGCGCTGGCCTTTCCCTGCAAAAACCCCTCTCAGTGTTGGGAGGAACCCCAGAAGAGTCTAGTGCCTGTTTCTGGTGGGGACCTTGTGGCTCTGAGAATCATGCTATGAGATGCTTTGTGGCTTGACTTCCTTACTCACACTGGGCTAATGCTGGGGACTAGCCATTCAGAGACAGGGATGGGGGAAACTGCACATTTACACCCCAGGGAGCAAACACCTACATCCCAGGGAGCAAAGTCAACAGGCAGTATTACGAATTATTGCAAACAATCCTCTACCCAACCACAGCCCCACCCAAAAAAACCACTATAGAGAATAATTTAACCAGTGCTAGCATGCTCGATTGCTGGATTGGCCAAGTGGCAGCATCAATGGGCTCAATCTTGGCAACAATAGTGAGGCTGGCCCAGGATCCGGCAGTGTTTCATTCTGCTGTGCATAAGGTCGGTATGGGTCTGTACCGACTCCATAGCACCTAACAACAACAGCATGCTCAAAGCCCTGAGGTGGCGCTGAGGGCTAATGTGTCAGACTGCAAAGCTGTTTGAACTGCAAGGTCGGTGGTTCAAGCTCACCAGCTGCTCCTCTGAAATCCTATACAGGGTCGCTATGGGTCGGAACCGACTCGACGGTACTTATCAACAGCAACAGCATGCTCACCCTGATTTAAGACACGTTAGCATTTTGACACCAATATTGGCAGTACTGGAGTCCTGGTGTGTGAAGCTGAAGGATAAGCAGTGGACTGCTAACCTCAAGGTCAGCGGTCCAAACTCACCAGCCGCTCCTTGGAAACCCTATACAGGGTCGCTGTGAATCGAAACCTACTCCATTGCACTTAATAACACTGGCAGCACGAAAACGTTACATTCTTTATTTCATCAGGCTCAAAATCCATTTCCAAACAGTCGCCTACATTTTCCCCACTGCCATTGGGTCCCTGGTGTCTGGGCTGATTCACACAGTCGTACAATCGTGCAGGTGTGTTTCCAGGGACTCAAGCGGCTCTCACCCCACCATAACAGCCCCAAAAAAGGTCTTCCCTCTCCTGTAGTCCACCATATCCGGATGACTGATGTTGACGTACACCCTCTCGCCTCTCCGGAGCTGCACCAGACCGCCGAACCCCACGCTGGTGAACCACAGGGGCCCGTACCCTTGCATTCTAGGCAAGTCTAAAACCGATGTCACCGTCTCGGCGCCCTCGAGCAGCAGTTGGGGAATCCCCGGCCCGTAGGCTCCCCCGGTCCGGTACAGGGAACTGCGCAGCGTGACCGAACGGCCCAGGAAGCCCCGGCCAGCAGGGGGCGCTCGGCCCCGGTAGCCGATGTAACAGTAGAGGTAATAGAGGCCGTCCTGCGGGAGGGCCAGTCCCTCGGCGTCAGAGAACTGCGTCCCGCTTCTCAGAAACGCCTCTTCGTTCTTTGTCTCCCAGTCTAGTCTCTGTCCATCCTTCCAGGAGCCTGCGGAGAAAAGGATCGGTCGGCTTTCGAGGACTCCAGTGTAGAGAGCAGACACCAAGATGCCGGACTCCTGGGAGAGTGGGCATGGGAGTGGGTGGGTGGCTTTTAGCCCCTAGCCTGAATCGCTCCCAGGAAAGAGGAGTGGTGTGATGGTGCTATCCCTGAGATGATTATGAGTTGGGGATTGAGGGAACCTGGAAGTGGGATGCAGAGCCCTGTGGTGGGAGGTCTGGACCGGTTTTGCGATTTTGCTTGCTCTCGGCGGGAGGCCAGAAGCTCAAGTGGGGAGACAAGCGGAAGGGTGGGCACTTTCGGAGGTAATGGATGGAGTGGGTTGGGAAACCGAGCACTGTAATAGGGCAAAGTGTCTTTTAACTGCGGACGAACAGATCCTGCACCCTTGGAACAGTGAGCTGATCCCATTGGATCCTTGTCTGATTCTCTGGGGCTACTTAAATACCTATCCAGGTCTACGGAAGTCCTTACCTATGAGGTGAGCAGCCGGGAGCCTCAGGCTAGGATCTGTTTCCTCTGTCTCCTCCGGTAACTTTTGGAACTCTGGAAGGGGCCAAGGATTCGTATTTGCGGGGGGGCATCCATGCATGGGCCCCCTGAGAGGACAGGGCACCGGGACTTAAGGATGGAGTGCTTGAGTTCCTGGAGGAAATGGGTATCCGGACAAGGACACGAGTTGGGGGTCGCTAAAGGTTGAGAGGGAGAGGGGAGATGGTTTGCTCTTACCCAGTTGTTGCTGGGCCTGTCTCCCCAGATCAGCGGTCTCTGTTACCTGTGTGGGTGGAGTTATAAAGTGCTCAAAGTTCAGACTCAGCTGATGCCAACCCCACCCCTTCCAACAAGAACCCAAGCTCCAAGCCTGGCGTTTTCCCACCAGCTCCACCCCAACACACCTCCCTGGGAGGGAGAGTAAGCAAAGCATGTCCTTGGGCCTGAGTTATGTCTGGGGAAAGAACAGGGGAGAGAGCTTGCAGATACCAGGACCCACTAGCATCACGGAATGTGGAAAGAGACAGGCAAGACGTTAGTACCCGAGCCAGAAAACACGGCTGAGTCATGACAGTAACTGGAGGTGAGTGAGCATGGTAGCTAGCGTACAGTCCTCCTGTTGCAGTCACTCACCAGTCCTCCTCGCTCCTGGGGCACCAAGGCCAGCACAGTCAGGACAGTGATAGGCACAGAGAGCACCACAGACCCCAGGACAATGGCTCCAGCCACAGCCAGCAGGAGGCAGCCCCTCCCCTGGGGTCTCTTACCCCGGCCCTCCAGCCCCTGGGCTTCCATGAAGACTCTGAATCAGTGCCAGGGCAGGGGGGGCTTTCATAGCCCCAGGGTGGCGCCACCCCCTCCCCATAGACCCACACACCTGCCTGGGACTTTCCACACACCCCTGCTCCCCTCACCCAGCTTCCTGTTTACCCAGAGCTGGGGTGGGGCAGCTGGATGCCTGGGTTCTCTGAACTGGGGAAGGACTTGGGGTGGAGAGACAGTGGTGGAGATGGAGAGGGTCTTTGAGATCTTCTGGCTCAGAAGGGAGGGAAATTAAGGTCCAGGGAGGGGAGGTAGCTTGCAGAAAGACAAGTAGCAAGACTGGGACCAGAACTCAGGACTCCAGGTTTCCAGTGCAGTTCGCATTCTTCACCCCCTGGGTGGATGTTGGAGGGAAGGCTACCAGCAAGTCCCTGAGGTTAATGGGCCAGAGTGGGAGGACAAGAACTGGGGTCTTGAGAAATGGATGTTCAGGTCTCCAAGAACCTATACCCACACTGATTTCTCCCTCCCATTGTGTGGCTCGCCCCTAGGTCCCTCTTGATGTTGGGAAAGGCAAAATTGAGCCATCTCAGTGATGGCTACTGAAGAGGGTCTCAGCCTCACCACTGACTACTGATTCACTGGGAAGGGAAGAGAAAAGAAGCACACCTCCATCCTCAAAGAACTTCTCCGTTTAAGATGAGCCTGCTTCATTTCTTGTGGTGTGTGCCCGAGTTGGTTCTGACTCACAGCGACCCTGTATAGGGTTTTTGAGGTTGTAAATCTTTATAGGAGCAGAAAGCCTCATCTTTCTTCCCTCAGAGTAGCTGGTAGATTCGAACTGCTGACCTTGTAGATAGCAGCCCAATTTGTAATCCATTACCTTATCAGGGCTCCAGATACATTTTTAGATACTTATTAAATTACTTGGAGTCCTGGTGTGGTGCTGTGGGTTAATGTGCCAGACTGCAAAGCTACTTGAACTACAAGGTTGGTGGTTCACGCTGACCAGCTGATCCTTGGAAACCCTATACAGGGTCGCTATGGGTCGGAATCGACTCGACGGCACTTAACAACAACAACAGTAAATGCTTATGAATGAGCAAAAAAACATCTCAAGGGCCAAATGAATGATATAGATGGTAGGAGTTGAAAGGAAAGAAGATCAAGTCTGTGGAAGTTAGAGATGGTCCAGAGCATCTCTCCTTGATGACATCTCTATGTGTTCAAGATAACAATAATATACAAATAACATGTGCCTACCATGGATCTAAAGAGCTCTGGTAGCATAGTGGTTATGAATTGGGCTGCTAACCTCAAGGTTGGCAGTTCGAAACTACCAGCTGTTCCGAAGGAGAAAGATGAGGCTTTCTGCTCCCATAAAGATTTACAGCCTCGGAAACCCTGTGCAGGGTCACTATGAGTTGGAACCGAGTCCACGGTACTTAACAACCATGGATCTACAAACTTTACTTATAATATTATTTTAATCCTGAAAGGAAACTGGGGAACAGAGAAGCTAAGAAACTTGTGGAAGGCCACACAGTAAGCGGCAGAGCTAGCATTTGAACCCAGACTAGCTGGCTCCAACCTTGAACATAGGTAGTTTCAAAAAACACATACTGACTTCAGATTTGAACACTTCACTATATGCAAATTTTACCTTCCCTGGCCCCCACAAAAAAGGGGAAATACTGAACTCCAGTCAATGATAAAGCATGCTGAAAAGTTTAAAGGTAAAATGTTCTGATGTTTGCAACTTTGAAAGGCATCAAAAAATGAGATGGGTTGATAGATAAATATGATTAAGCAAATGCAGTAAAATGTTATTTGTAGACTCTAGCTGGTAGAGATACAATTTTATCAGTTTTTTTCTTTGTCTTTGAATTTTTTAAATAATAAATATATCTAAAAAATAAAATCCTTAAGTATCATTCTCTTATCCTGCAAGAGGCACTTTGAAGGTGTGGGTGGGGAAATAAGAGTTGTTGTAAAGTGCCCTTGAAGTTGGGTTCAACTCATAATCAGAACCTCCAACCTTGTGGTTAGCAGTCCAGTACTTATCCTACAGCGCCACACCAGGACTTCCCGGAAGTAGCAGAAAGTTCCTGGATTTGGAAAAGGAAATTCACATGCATTCAGACCCTGGCACCATATCTCCTTGTCACTCTTCTTGTCTTGGGCTTCCCATCTTTCACCCTCCTCAAGAATGGTGTGTATAATGCACTAGTACCCCGTTTCCTCCCTGTCATAGACCACTAACAGACCTTCAGCCCAGGTCTCTGGCCAGGGGGCCTGGGACCATTGCCCTTGATTCTGTGCTCAGCATCAGAATGGTACCTTCTGCAGGAGGTCCACCTGGGTTTCCCCCACCTCCTTTCCCAAGCACCAACTCCACCTCCTCAAGTTACTATCCTAACCCTATTAGTATTGCTCATGTGCATCTAGTTGTCTAATTTAGTTGCCTCTGGTTGTCCTATTTGCTAGCTAGCCAAGTACCTTGCTGCATACAGGCCCAGAACATCAGGCAAGTGATCCCCAATCTTCTAGAGCTCCCAGTCTGATGTGGGAGCCAGGATTAGTGTACCCACACAAATGCACCAAGATCATGAACTCTTGGTATATGCAGTGTAACGCTTTGAGGAACAGGATTTCAAATGTTTGTGGAGTCTAGAGTTTCTCAAGCCATTGAGGTGAAAATGACCCATCTGAAACCGTTGCCCAGCGATTCTTTTAAATTTTCAATCAAAACGCTCCCTGAAAATCATCTTTATAACAAACAATAAAAAACCCTACAGCTGTTGAGTCAATTCCAATTCACAGCACCTCTGTAAGACAGAGTACAACTATTACATAGGGTCTCCAAGACTGTAAATTTTTATGGAAGCAGACTGCCATATCTGTCTCCTGAGCAGTGGGTTCAGAGAGCCCACTCTTCAGTTAGCAACCAAGTGCTTAACCAGGACTCCTAGTAAACCAAACAATCTCAAGTGTGATCAAGGCAGTTCCAACTCATAGTTACCCTATGTACAACAAACAAAACACCACCAGGTCTTGTGGCGTCCTCACAATGATTCCACTGTGTGAGTGCATTGTTGCAGCCACTGTGTCAGTCCATCTTGCTGATGGTTTTTCTCGTTCTTGCTGACCTTTTACTTTACTATGCATGATGTCATGTCCTTCTGTAGGGACTGGGCTCTCCTGAGAACATGCTCTGAGTATGTGAGGTGAATTCTCATCATCCTTGCGTCTAAGGAGCATTCTGGTTATACTTCATCCTTGACATGTGTTAGTTCTTCTGGCAGCCCATGATATATTCAACAATCTTTGCTAAAAGAGTAATTCAAATACATCAATTTTTAGTCAGTCTTTCTTATGTATTGTCCAGCTTTTGCACGCATATGAGGTGATTGAAAATACCACGGCTTGAGTCAGGCACACCTTAGGTCCTCAAAGTGACATCTTTAGTTTTTAGCACTTAAAGGGGCCTTGTTCAGTAGATTTGCCCTATGCAATAGGTCATTTGATTTCTCGACTGCTACATCAATGAGCAGTGGTTATGGAGCCAAGTAAAACGAAATCCTTGACAACTTCAAACTGTTCTTCATTTATCATGGTGTTGTTTATTGGTCCAATTATAAGCATTTTGTTTTCCTTACATTGAGGTATAATTAATATCTAAAGCTATAGTCTTCGATCTTCATCAGTAACTGCTTCTAATTCTCTTTACTTTCAGCAAGCAAGGTTGTATCATCTGCACATCACAGGTTATCATGAGCACCCCTCCAAACCTGATATCATGTTCTTCATATAGTCCAGCTTCTCAGATTACTTGCTCAGCATACACAAATATGATGAAATGATGTAATCCTGACCCACACCTTTCCTGATTTTAAACCACACAATATGCTCTTGTTCTCCCCTTGGTCTGTGTATAGGTTTCTCATGAGCACAGTGAAATGTTCTGGAATACCTATTCTTCACAGTGTTATCCATAGTTTGTTGTGATCCACAGAGTTGAATACCTTTACATAGTCAATAGAACAAAAAAGCACCAATAAACATCTTTCTAGTATTACCTGCTTTCAGCCAAGATCCAATATCAGCAACGATATCACTTTGTTCCACATCCTGTTCTGAATCTGGCTTGAATTTCTGGCAGCTCTCTGTTGACATGCTACAGCAACCATTTTTTAATTATCTTCAGCAAAACTTTACTTGCATGTGATATTGATATTGTTCAATAAGTTCCACATTCTGTTGTGCCACGTTTTGTTTGGTTTTTTAAAAAATAAACACAAATATGGGTCTCTTCCCTTTGGTTGGCCAGGTAGTTGTTTTCCAAGTTTATTGGCATAGACAAGGGGGTGCTTCTGGTGCTGCATTAATTTGTTGAAACATTTCAGCTTATATTCTGTCAATTCCTGGAGCCTTATTTTTCACCAATACCTTCAGTATAGCTTGGGCTTCTTCCTTTTATACCATCGATTTTCAATCATTTGCTACCTCCGGAAATGGTTGAATATCGACCAGTTCTTTTTGGACCAGTGACTGGGTATTCCTTCCATCTTCTTTTGATGCTTCCTGTGTTGTTCAATATCTTGCCCATGTTGTAGTTGTTAAGTGCTGTCAAGTCAGTTCCAACTCATAGCAACTCTGTATAGAGTTTAAGAGGAGCAGGCGGTGGATTTGAACCACCAACCTTGTAGTTCAAACTGATCTTGTGGTTCCAGTGCTTACCCTACAGCGCCAGACCAGGACTCCACTGTTGTTGTTGTTAGGTGCCATCGAGTTGGTACCAACCCATAGCAACCTTATGCACAGCAGATGAAACACTGCCTGATCCTGGGCCAACCTCACTACTGTTGCCATGCTTGAGTCCATCGATGCTGCCACTTGGCCAATTCATCTCATTGGTGGTCTTCCTCTTTTTCTCTGACCCTCCATCTTACCAAACCTTACCAAACAGCGATATTTCTGGAGAAGGACTTCATAGAACCCCTCAATATTGCAATTCAAGGCTTGAATTTTTACTTCAGCCTTTTCAGCTTGAGAAATTCTGACAGTGTTCTTCTCATCTGGTTTTCCAACTCTAGGTCATTTGCCCATTTCACTATAACACTTTACTTTGTCTTCTCTAGCTGTCCTTTGAAAAATTCTGTTCAGCTGTTTTACTTTCTCATTTCTTCCATTCACATTAGCTTCTGTACAGTCAAGAGCAAGTTTCAGCATCTCTTCTGACATCCGTTTTGGCCTTTTCTTTCTTTCCTGTATTTTTAATGCCCTTTTGCTTTCTTCGTGTATGATGTTCTTCTTCATGTCATCCCACAATTCCTTTGGTCTTCAGTCATTAGTATCCAATGTGCTAAATCTATTCTTGAGATGGTCTCTAAAACTCAGCTGGGTTTTACTCAAGACCATATTTTGGTTCTTGTTTTACTTTTCTTCAGCTTCAAATAGAACTTGCGTATGAGCAATTGCTGGTCTGTTCCACACTGGTTCCTGCCCTTGTTAAGCTCATGGGGCTTGTCTTCTTTTTCCATGGATGTAGTCTATTTGATTCCTGTGTATTCCATCTGGTTATGTTGTTGAAAAAATATTTGCATTGGTCTTGCAAAACTCAGTCATGCATTCAGAGGGAGGGAGGGAAGGTAGAATCCCCACTGAATAATTTTCATCTTGTCTACATGGGTCTGGTGAAAGGAGATGGGGATAGGATTCTTTTGATTCAATAGTGAGTAATCCTTATCATGACTAATTGTGAATGTCACAACTGTAAAGGTAGGAGTTGTATAACAAAAAAGGAGGAGTGGTTAATCTTACATTCCAGGAAAAGAGGACCCTAGGACCATCAACAGAGAAGAAGTTCTCTGGACTCCTAACCAGAGAAGCAGCGACACCAGAGATGGAGGCAGAGGTGATGGCATGGAGAGATAGAGTATCTGAGGACTCTAGACTCATGGAAAGAGAAAGGTTGTGTGCTGGTGGGCAGGAGGCTGGCTTGCAAAATGTGCCCTTTGGTTGTTAAAATTATTGTGTGTATTCCTGTGTGTTTTTGTATACATCAAATAACAACAACAACAAAAAAGAGGGAATATAGGCAAATATTTTTAACCAGTGGCACATGGAGGGGATTGTAATCATTGCAGTGAAACAAAATATGATTGGTTGAGTGCAAAACCGATGTTCTGCCATGTAAACTATCTCTCAATTGACAATAACAGCTTTTTAAAAAATTCAATCATGGGATCTCCAGCATTGTTTCTGTTACAAAGGCCACACTTTCCAACTACTGACCCTTCCTCTTTGTTTCCAACTTTAGCATTCAGTCACTAATTATCACTGCGTCTTGATTGCATATTTGATCAATTTCAACTTGAATAAGTTGGCAGAATTTTAAAATTTCTTCATCTTTGGCTTTAGTGGTTGGTGTGTAAATTTGAATAATTCTTATGTTACCTGGTCTTCCTTATAGGTATATAGATATTGTCCTCTGATTGACAGGATTATATTTCAGAATAGATTTTTCTACTTATGAAAAAAATTATGAAATATTTTTATGGGCTTTGTTTTTATTTTTATTTTTTACTATGAATGTGATGGTATTTCTCTTCAGTGTGTCATTGCTGGCACAGTAAACTATATGATTATTCAATTCAAAATAGTCAATACCAGTCCATTGAAGTTACCTGATACCTAGGAAACCAATCTTTATACATTCAATTTCATTTTTGATGATTTATAATCTTCCTAGATCCATAATTGATACATTTCAGGCTCCAGATATAATGACTGTATGCAGCTGTTTCTTCTCCTTTTCAGTTATCTGTCAGTTTGTTGTACTGTGGTGACTTGCATGTTGCTGTGTTGCTAGAAGCAGTATCATCACTGGTATTTCATGTACCAGCAGGGTCATCACCCACCAGGGACAGACTTCAGTGGAGTTTACAGACTAAGACAGACTAGGAGGAAGGAAGAAGCAGACTGCTTTGGAAAAATAAGTCAGTGAAAATCTTATAAATAGTATGGATATTGTCAAACCAAACAATAATTCATCTTTGAACATAAAGAATGCTCGCCTTGAGCATCGTGCTCTTTTGTATAGAACTGCTTATATGCAGTCAGTTTGAAAACCATAATTTCAAAGATCAGATGAAAAACTATGTCAGAAGATCAATCAGTAAGTGTTTGAATCTTTCTTCAAGAAAATATTATATGGAATCCTGATTGTCCACAGGTTATTTTGTAAATTCTATTCTGGCTCCATTTCCATGGCAATGTAGAATTATAAGCAATAAGCTGGGGTACAAAAATCTACAAAGTGTCTTTTTTCTCTGGACCACTTTTGAAACTCTAGTCAGAAAAGTTGCCCCAATTTACAAATTGCAAATTAAATAAACTTTAATCAATTTCTATTATTGGTTTCATATTGACTTTATTTTAACAGTGTAATTGAGGAAAGTTGATCCAAGAAGCTGCCTGCAAGCTTTCACCAACCAGCAGGATCAATAGGGCTGTTAGGACAGACTTAGTTACAGTCCCAGAAGTCTGAAAGGAAAAATGTTGCAATCCTAACTCTGAAAGCGTTACTTCCTCTCCTAGCAATTGGTGAGGCAGCTTGTTTGGGGAGAAGTTAAAGCCAGAGGAGGGGCAGAAATGTCTGAGGTGACTGCACTTCTCTCTCTACCTAGGAAGTGCGGGTCAGTCTGAAGCTGTGCACCATAGACTGTAGGTAAGCTGGGGGCATGCAGGGACCCTGTTGGTGGTGGTGATAGGGGAACTGTGGCTGGAATGACCCTCATACCCGAGTAAAGTGAGGCTAAAAAGGGGGAGGGAGGGAAGGGGTTTGAGGGTCCCTGGATCCTCAAGGAAAGCATCTTCTCCAGGCTCTATGGTCTCAGCTCCCCAAAGAAATTTAAAACAACCATCTCTGTCCCCACTGCTCCCCTCATGGCCACCTCAGGCATCCTTTGTCTACTATGCTTCTGCTGCCAACACACACACTCTTGAGTACTTCTTGCTGTTAACTACCGTTGAGTAGGTTCTGACCCATAGCAACCCTGTATAGGGTTTCCGAGGAGTGGCTGGTGGGTTTGAACCACCAACCTTGAGGTGCATTAACCCACAGTACAACACTAGGACTCCTCTTGAGCCCTGTTGTTGTTGTTAAGTCCCATAGAGTCAGTTCCAACCCATAGCAACCCTGTGTAAGGTTTCCAAGGAGCAGCTGTGAGCTTGAACCACAAGGTTGGTGGTTTGCAGTCCAGCGCATTAACCCAGAGCTCCATACCAGGACTTCTAGAGGGTCTCCAGTTCCAGTCTCTGGTCAGTACATCTTACTCTGGAGTGAAGTCAACAGCCCTGTATTTGCTCTCAAACAGGAACCAGTGGTTGGAAGGCAGGAAATGCCTGAGGGGAAGTTACAGGGCCCCAGGTACTCCCCAAGCCCCACTTTGGCCCCACTGAGGAGCTGCTTTCCATAGCAGCCAAGTAAGGCCCCTTTGAGTTGCCCTGGAGTCGAGAGAGCTGTCCAACTGAGAGACCCTGCATTCCCTATTTTTCTACCAGTTCCCACCTCACTCCAGACCCTGACTGCTCCTCCTCTGTCAGTACCATTCCCAGGGCCTAGAACTATCCAAAACTGGAGAAACCCAGGAAACTTCGCTTCAGCCTAGGATAAAGAGCTGGCCTTGAACCCCAGTTCTGCCACTTCTGTCCTAAGGGTTCTTATGAAACTCAGTGACTTGAACCTCAGGTTCCTTCCCTGGGAAATGGAAACCATAATCTCCAATCATGTTATGACGATTAGCAGCAACAAATGAAAAGTATCCAGTTCAGGATTGGTACACAGTGGAAGGTCCTAAGCTTGGGAGACAATTGCAACAGAGGGTCCATCACTTTACAGATGAGGAACTTGAGGCATGTGACTTGCTCAAGACATTAATTAGCCTAAAAGAACAGGGCTAGGTTTCCTGACGTTCAGGCCAGTCCTTCAGTCCACAACCAAGTGAAAACTGCTGATGTCGATGGCCGGTTTTTGTGAGGGTAAGGAGCCCTTCCCTTCTGGATGGGGAGGTTTGTGGGTCATAGGAGCAATGAATGAGAGGCAATATGTCAGTTCATAAGTAAGACCAGACAGAGGGCATGGAGGTAATGCAAAAGGACTTCACATTGAGGACCCAGAGACAACAGGGACTGCTGTGGATCTCTCTGAGAGTGGGTTGTCTCAGATATGAGGTGAAGTAACTAATGAGTCTCTGAAGTGACTATCTGCATCTAAAACTATTGGAGAAAGAAGCTGGGATACCCACGGGCAGCCAGGAGGATTGGTAAACAGGAGATAGTAATAGGTCCTCTAATATTTGCCTGTTTTCCCCACAGACAAACAGCTGTGCCTTTACCTATATGGGGGGCTAGCACTGGGAGGGCTTCTGTTCCTGGTTGTGGTCATTCTGTCCACCTGTCTGTGTTGGCTCCATTGTAGAGGTGAGTCCCACCCTCACTTGCCACAATCACACCACAGCAATGTCTCCTCCCATGTCCTTTCATAATGCTTTCCCAGTCATCTCAATGGATCCAGAGAGGTCCTGGGTGATGAGGATGGTGGGAGTGGGGTGGAGTGGGTGAGAGAAAAGTGTCCAAAGAGTGAGGGAAGGACTTGGCCCAGGGGAAGCACAGGGAACTCAAGAGAGGAAACAGCAGCCTGATACCGGCCTCCCTGACGCTGAGATGAAGACTTGGCTCCTGGGCTCCACATCCTCCCCCAACAGGGCTGGGCCTGGGAAGCACACAATGGGAGGGCCATGCTGAGTTTCTTCTTTTTCTTCCAGTAAAGAGGCTGGAGAAGAGCTGGGTGAGTCTGGGAACCGGGGAAAGGGGAGGGCAAAAGAGGGCCTAAGTGGGAAGACAAGGGCTGAGGTGGAGACGTGCAGGCCAAGAGAAAAAGAAAAGGAAGGTCTGAGAATGAGAGGGTCAGAGAGGCAGAGAGAGAAATGAGAAATGAGAAGAGAGGAAAGAAACTGTATATAGATATTATTGTTAAGTGCCATTGAGTCAGTTCTGACCCATAGCAATATAGGGTTTTCAAGGAGTGGCTGGTGAGTTTGAACTGTTGACCTTGCAATTCAAACTGACCTTGTGGCTGAGTGCCACATGTGGACTCCATTTATAGATGAGAAGAGAAAATAAAACAGAAAGGAAAGGGAAAAATGAGAGACACAGTGAGGCACACAGAGAGAGAAACAGAAAACGAAAGAGATAAACCAAGAGAAAAGTAAAAGGGAAAAATGAGAAGGGGAGAAAATAGAGAATGAGAAAGAGTCAAAGAGAAAGGACGAGAAGAGGAGAAAACAAGAACTTAAGCTGGCAGAGAGAAGGGGAGGGGAAGGGGAGGAGAGTAAGAAGAGAACAGAGGATAGGAGACTGAGAAGGAAGCAATGAGATAGGAAAGGCAGAAGGTGGGGACAGAAACCTACAGGGAAGGAAGGGAGGGAGGTGCCGCCCTGTGCCTGATGCCAGCCCCCTCTGTGCCCACCCAGGCCCAGTCCTCAGAGCAGGAACTCCACTATGCATCTCTGCAGAGGCTGCCAGCACCAGGAGGTGCTGAAGGGCTGGGCCTTGGTGACAGAGATGGAGATGATGCCAAGGAGGGCCTTAGTACTGAGTATGCCATCATTGCCAAGAAAAAACCCAGCTGAGCATCCCCAGACACTTCTTTCCACCCCAGTGGGCGGGCAGGGTAATCCTGGGGTTCACCTAGTAAAGACTGTGGTCTCCTCAACTCTGTGTCTCATGCCTCCATTCAAAGCAACCAAAGTCAAAACTTAAGTGGCTTCACAACACCACCTCCATCACCACCACCACTGACTCTGGAATCCAGTGGTGATTATTGGATCAAGGAGGGAACTTAAGAACCCAAGCTTTCCTGAATGCCAAGAAAGAGTATTTTTCTGTGAGTCTGTCTAGACTGATGCTATTGACAAATAGGAAAAGGAAATGCTATAATCCCCACACCTCAGGAGAATTTCAGGATAACGTGTCTCAGCCCCCTGGACTTGGGAAAGATTGGGTCTTAGGATGGTGATGGAAGGGGGCTCTGGGTCCAATTTCAGGAAGTTTTTTCTTGAGCCTTTTTGGTATGGACTTGGTGGAGAGGACAGATAGGAGCCTGGGACCCTGAGAGGGGCATACTTGAATAGAGAGAAAAATACAAGAGACAGATAAGGGGGAGTGAGCGGAGGAGCAGAGACAGATTTCTTGGAGTCTCTTAAAGAAGGCCAGTGACCACATATCTAGAATCACTCTCCAGAGGCCATCCAGTGGGTGGCAGGGTACTTGTACATGATAGGATGGCCTGGAGTTCCCACGTGACAGGGCCCTGGTGGGAGAGACCACAGGAGTGGCTGAGCATTGCAGACTCTTTTCTTGGCCTCTGTCTCTCCCTCCCCTGGCCCTCTATTGTCCCTCCTGTCTCCTCTGTCTTTACCCTGAGCGCCATTACTCACATTGTCTCTGATAATAGATGGTGCTGCTTATGGCCACTGAGAAAAAGCTGAAGGCACAGAATGCAGCCCGAAGGAAGAGGATGAGGAGAATGGTGCTAGCCTCTAGCTGAGAGAATCCTGAATGTGGGGTGATGAAAATGAAAGGGCTTGGTAAACAGGTCTTTGAAGAAAACACTTGCACAGGCTTAGGGAGGGGCTATACAGGAATAAGGAATCTCAGGGGGCTTCCACTTCCAGGACATTGCCAAGTAGGACTACCAACCACCAAGGGCTACCTCCCAGAGCCTCACCTTTCTCCACCACCAGCGGAGTCCCATTCCCTGTGTCAAAGTCCAGACCCAGCACCTCCACTCTGCACAGTTAGATTCCAGCGTCATGTGCTTGGGTGTCCCGGATGTGCAGGTCTGCCTGGTGGTCACAGAGGAAACTGGCAGAGCCAAGGGGGGCCAGGTGGCATCAGAACTCTGGGGTTTCATTCCTCACCTCCTTCCCAGGGGCCTTTGTCCAGGTATCATGTGACAGAAACAATGGCAGGGCTCCCTCTGCTGGCATTAAGGAAGCAGGGCAGGGATGTGGTGGTGGTGTCCTGGGTTGGAATCTCAGGGGGCTGGTCACCCAGAGAGCATAAGATCCTGGGGGACAAATGGAAGACCCAGAAAACACCTTTTCAGTTACACCAAAATGAAAAGACCAAGAGACCTTGAAGTCAAATATCCAGTTATCCCACCACAGAATATTCATGGGAACATGAACTTTGGGTAAACCTTCCTCATTCAACCTTCTCCTCTTTAGCAATCTAATTTCTTAACCTTGCTCTTAAATGGTTTTTCATATTCTTTTCCATGCCAACTCTCACTCTCACACCCCTTCAACACACTCCAGCTACACTCACATGTAACTTGTCTTGTTGGAATCGAACCTGTCACAGTCAAATTGAACGTTATTAATAAAATACTGCCTTGTTTACTAACATCATTAATTACATGATTCCAAGTATTAGTTTAGTACTAATGACATGTCTCACTACAGCACTTTTTTTGTTAATGTCAAAGAGCATTAACTCATTCAATCTTCCAAGTAAGGGCATGGTTGCAATAGGCTGAGTTGTTCTTGTTAAGTGCTGTTGAGTTGGTTCCGATGCATAGTAAGCCAATGAGCATAGGTTTTCTGATGAGCAACTGGTGGGTTTGAACTGCCAACCTTTTGGCTAGCACTCCAGAGTATATATCAGAGGCACCCAAAGACTTTCTGAATGTCAATTCCTGGGCCCTACTGCCAGGAATTTTTGATTCAGTAGGTCTTCAGAAAGGAACCCTGGTGGTACAGTGGTTAAAGTGTTCTAACATTCTAACTTAGGTTAGCTAAAGCAGTGGCTCCCACTTTAACAATGTGGCAGCAGCTTCTGTACAGATTCCTGTTGCTGTTGTAAAGTGCTGTCAAGTCGATTCTGACTCATAGCAACCCTGTACAGAGTTTCTGAGGAGCAGCTAGTGAGTTTGAATCACCGACCTTGCAGTTTGCATTCTAGTGCTTATCCTATAGTACCACACCCGGAGTCTGCAAAAATTACAAGCTTAGAAACTGTATAGAACAATTTTACTCTCTTTTATAGGGTTGATATGAGTCAGCATTGACTCAATGTTAATGGGCTTTGGGGTTTGGAGGTCTAGAGTGGGGGTCTCAGGTGATGCTGCTGCTGCTGATTTGGAGTCATACTTTGAGAAGCACTAGTTAAGGAGGCCTGGTTGCACAGTGGTTAAAGCACCCAGGGTTTTGCCTCAAGGTGGTGGTAGGAAATGCTTCTCTGGGGAAAGATAGGAGCAGTCTGCTTCCATAAACATTTATACTCTTGGAAACCCTGTCCTATATTGCAGCTATGAGTCAGAACTGACTTGAAAATATGGTGTTTGGGCACCTAGTTAATGAATATTTTTGATAGCTAAAGTCTCTCTGTTAATTACACTCACTTTCATTTAAAAATTAAGACATTTATTTTACATTGAATTAGATCTTCCTGGTGGTTAAATGCCATCGAGTTGGTTCTGACTCATACCAACTTTGTATAGGGTTTTCAAGGAGCAGCTGGTGGGTTTGAACCACTGACTTTGCAGTTAGCAGTCCAGTGGTTATCCTACAGTACCACACTGGGACCTCATCTAGCCACTAGATAATCTAGTTGATTAAATCTAGACCCTAGAAAATCTAATCTATTAAGCTCTTCAATTTAAAGCTGGTCCTTGCCTTCAAGCCCCTCCTTCCTTCAAACCTATTTATGGTTCCTTTCAACCTTTTCAGGAAGGAAGCTGAGAAAAATAAGGAATCAAGGGTCAAACTGGAGATTACCCTCCCAGCCAGGTGACAGGGAAATTCAATGTGGGGTGGGGAGAAAGTAGTGAAATGGGAGAGTTCTTAAGTATCAGCTTTATGGACTATTCCTCTCCCTTTTCCTATTTAATGCTCTTGGGCATCATTTGTCCAGTTTCTCTCCCTCCCCGACTCCTAGCCAGACACTCTTCAAAAACCCTGTCACTGGATGTACCATGATAAAGATGAGCAACAGCGTCCAGGTCATGTCGTGGTTGAGTTGCTGAGGAAACCTAAGCAGTGAGGTTGAACAACCTACTACTTGGGGCCTTTAGTCACCACTGGGGCTGAGGACCTTCTTATGACAGACAGGACTCTAGTATGTCTCCCTGAGGAGAGAGGAATGCTGCCAATGAAGAGATTTCTAGGCAGCATGAGCCTGCGTGGGCACGTTGCCAAAGTGAGAGGAACAGACTGGGGCTCAGATATCTGGCAAGGAAAGGGTGGGTAGACAAGGATAAGTAAGCTAGTGAGACCAGGTTGAGGGTCTCCTGTTTTCTGAGGTTCACAAAGGCCAGGCCTTTCCCAGAATAAGTCTCCAGGAACCCTCTGGACCCATCTCCACTATCTAGAACAGTGTCCAGGTCCACCTTTCCTTTTCCCTTGAGTCTGGTCCTCCTGCTTGTCTACTCCCGAATGTATACTGGAATATAGGAGGTGAGGGAGTCTTGGCATGGTGTTGTAGGATAAGTACTGGACTGCTAACCACAAGGTCAGCAGTTCAAATCTACTAGTTGTTCCTTGGAAACCCTATACAGGGTCACTATAAGTCGGGACCAACTCCACGGCACCTAACAACAACAACATAGGAGGGAAGGAGAAGTAAACTGACTGGTGTGGAGGGGTAGATGGAAAAGGTGGCTAGGGACTTTGTCTGGAAGGTGTATTTATATAAATTGTGTTGCTTGGGTGATTTGGCAGGATGAGTGCTGCTGATGGAGAAGTTCAGACTGATTCATACTGAGCTCTCCATTAAAGGAATACATCCCCAGCAGAGGTCAGCTGTACCTAGTGCATTCCAGAAGGACTCCTCACCCACTGGGAAATCCACTCATCTATTATTTTATTCACCATTTAACTACCACTTACTGAGAACTTACAAAGTATCCATTGCATGAAATGTATGGTGAATTTTATAGACCACAAAGGAAAGACACATTGCATTACATGTACAAGAGTATGTCATGTATTTATTTACACACTTGCTTGAGATAATGTAGCACACAGAAAAGAATGACCCCATGTAATATGCCAAGCGAAACATGTACCTAGTTACAGTGCAGTGAATTATTCATTACCCCTTCTAGCCATGGTTTTTGTAAATTCTTATCAAATGACTTTTTCCTGATGGATCTGGGTCTGGGTACGAAAAGAAAAGATGGGGACAGATACTAATGGATTATACAATTCAGTTGTGAGTGATTGTCACAGGACTAATTGTGATTGATCAATTTTACCATCCTACTTGGTATAAGGCTCCCTGGTAGCATAGTGGTTATGAATTGAGCTGTTAATCTCACGGTCAGCAGTTCGAAACTACCAGCTGTTCTGCGGGAGAAAGATGAAGCTTTCTGCTCCCATAAAGATTTACAGCCTCAGAAACCCTGTACAGGGTCACTGAGTCGGAACCGACTCCACAGCACATAACAACTGGGTATAAAGGGAGCTCTCATAGTATAGTGATTACAAGTTGGGCTGCTAACCTCAAGATCAGCAGTTCCAAACTACCAGCTCCATGGAGAAGAAAAATGAAAACTTTCTGCTCCCATAAAGATTTACAGTCTGAAAAACCCTATGCAGGGTCTCTATGAGTTGGCACAGACTCATAT